ACATGTGACTTATCAGGTCTTAATCATTTATTGTGAATGTATTTTGAATAACTATTGAATAGTTTAAGAATTGTTATTCATGTTTAGTATGTGTGTGTTTGAATCTTCATGCTTGAAACGTTTCTTCCAATCAATTCTTGGTCAAATGTATCATATTCTCGTTATAGAAATCATGTCCAAAATCTTATTTTGCAAGAGCGGGAAAACCAAAACCATGTGAATAATGAGATAACAGTTGATTTATGAATGGGAAGGAGAAACATTGCAACACCCCGAGCTACAATTGGTCGAGACACCATTTGGGGTGTGTTAAACAGCCTGGTTTAAGTACTAGAAACACCATCAAACTTGGCGTTTTGTCTTGCTCTTGGCTCTCTCCTTCAACCCCCTTCTTTGCTCGCTCTTTGTTTTTACTCTCCTCTTTTTAGTCATAGCTTTGAGCTATGCTTTTAATCATGCTTCTTTAGCTTTTGAGCGTGCTCTGGCTTACACGCCAGCTCCTCCAAAACCATGAGGAGAAACGCCACCTAGTCTCGTCAAACTTTACTTCTATTTCTTTAGTGGCTCGTTCACTGAATCGCTGGCCGTCTCAGTGACCAGCCGTAAAACAGTGATTCCGTCCTAATTCCCTTACATATTAATGGTGGAGTTCCCTTTAAAATCTTAAATGATTCCCTTTTAGCTAAATTGACCTGTTTCCCTTACAGTACATTATTACATTTTTTATTTTATTTTATTATACTAGTGTTATATTACATCCCTACTGTGTTATTCCGATGTATGTCTGCACTATGTTTGTACTTTCTTCTACACTGGAAGCTCCTGTCGTCAAGTCAAATTCCTTGTGTGTGTAAACATACTTGGTTATAAAGCTCTTCTGATTCTAATTCTATAGCCAAGCCGTTAAAATTAGACCACATATTACCTCGATTTCGCCAGGTGGGCTAAAAGCAGACTACACGTAGCCTATCCAGTTTAGAGCTAAAGCGTGGCTACATATAGACCATGTCATGAAATTACACTTATATCTTTGTAGATATTATTGACAGTGTGAACATGATGGGATATCAACCATATCATGCGCTGCCTGGCCAAAAACTACAGTGAATCAGGTTTGACTATAAGTGGGCAACAGATAGCCGCTCTGACTACAAGCTTAATCGTGGCTACGCACAGGCTAGGTATTGAACATGTCAAAGAAATAAAACCAAACACCTTGTAAACGCTGTTACTTTTCTTTATATCTTTGTAGATATTATTGACAGTGTGAACATGATGGGATATCAACCATATCATGCGCTGCCTGGCCAAAAACTACAGTGAATCAGGTTTGACTATAAGTGGGCAACAGATAGCCGCTCTGACTACAAGCTTAATCGTGGCTACGCACAGGC